TGTGTGTGTGTGTGTGTGTGTGTGTGTGTGTGTGTGTGTGTGTGTGTCAGATTGTCCAGCTCTTCCTCCCCCCTTTTCCACAAATGAAAGCTGAGATTCTCAGGTAATCACAGGACTCCAGGAGCTGGAGCTTTAACCCCCCCCCAAATATCGCAAGGTTTGTGAAGAAATCACAACAGCTGGCAATGCTGAATCGGGTATTGTTCGACAAGACTGGCAGCCTGCCTGTTACAGAGACCAATGACTGGGATGGCGGGGGTGCTGCACAGCAAGGATGAGGGGCATTGGAAGAACAGCCCTGGAAGAGCAGGGCAGAGCAAGGCAGGGGGCATTGCCAGATCTGCGTGGGGAACCCAGCGCATGCTGCAGGGCAGGGTTGAGAGGCATTGGCAGAGCAGTGTATGTGGGTCCAGGACTGGAGCGGGAGCAGGTGCTGGGGGACAGGAGTGAGGGGCATGGGGCCAGGAATAGAAAAGCAGGAAGGCCCAGAACTTTGAGGTGGGAGTGGGGGAAGGGAACGGGCTCAGGCCAGCCCTCTAGGGCCTTTCCCCCTCCTTTGACAGCCCGGAAAAGAGGCCACGCCAGAGGAGAACGGGAAGGGAAAGCTGCACAGAGGGGAATCCATTCCCACTAGGTGGGCGAGGGGGCTAGCAGCGCTTTGCTCCAAACATGCAGCTCAAATGCCGCCTGAGCCAAGGAGCGTGGAAGCCCCTGGTGCAGCCCGGAGTGGTGAGCGCTCTGCCCTCAAACGGTCTGCACAGGGGAGCCAAAACCACAAGGCAGGAGACAGTCGAATGGGAACTTTCCCAAGAAAGAACCGCTCAAAGGAGGCACATACACCTCCCACCCTGAGCCCGCTGGAGAGAGAGAGAGAGAGAGCGTGCGAGAGAGCGCACGCATCGGGGCAGGCATCAGGGGAAACCAAGCAGCGAAGGGACTAGGTGAAAGGGAAGAAAGGCTGAGCAATGGCAGAGGGCTACCAGGGGGACGCACGCAGGTCTCTGAGAGGTGCAATCACCCAGTTGGCTGGGGAATGGCTCAAGGGAGCCCAGGGGATGCAGATCGGAGGAACAGGATGGGAGGAAGGACAATTTAAAACTTCCTGTGCGTGAAACCTCTCGGTCTCTCTAGGGCAGGGCGGGAAGCCACATGGCTTGAGAAATTTAAAACTGGACTAGACAATGTTGTGATGAGTTGGTGTTTGTGGGTGTGTGTGTTGGGGGGGGGGGTGTATCCATGTCTCTATCCTCCCTGCATGGAACCAGAACTACTCAACTGCGTGTCATAGACCCCTACGCTGCTGACAGCTAATGGGGATTCTCCTTTAGCCCAGTGGCAGGGGGTGCTTTGGAAACAGGAGGGTCTATATTCTACCCCATCAAGTTCCAAGTGGCCACGCTGCCCGCAAAGTGGAAATGCTAGTATGTTGTCACAAATGTAACTGCACCACCGGGAGAAAACCTGTGGGGAGCAGGCCACATGCCCTTATTGGCCTTTCCCATCTTGAACGTCTAGGATGTTTCTAAAGCTCTTTGGAGAGTTCAGTCTCTAGCCCATGGATGCTGGTTTAGCACCTCGGGGATACAAACTCATCCCTGTGCACCCCTTTGCTCCGAGGCCGGCTGGCTCAGGACCAGGACCCCGTCTGGATATAGGGTTCTCCTGCGAGGTGCCTTCACTTTACTGTTGATCCTCGGCGTAGGTTAGATCTAGGCCCATCCTGTGGTGGCAGGGGGTATCTCAGAGTGCGTGTGTGTTTCAGGGTGTGTGTAGTAGGGGTGCAGAGTGTGTCAAGGGCGTTGGGGGCAGCCGTGCATGTCGGGTGTGTGCGTTGGGGCCGGTATTTGGCAGGGGGCCCGTGCGTGTCGGGCGTGTAC